AGCTAACTTAACTAATTATATATATAAAAAATTAAAAATTTGATGATATTTATGTTTTAATATTTTGATGTATATTTTTAAAATATGACTTTAATAAATAATTTATTAGTTGAATATAAATTAATATTTTTTCATAAATATGGATAATTATTTAATTTTTTATATTATATTTTTTATTAATTTTATATTTTTAAGTATAAACCAAGTTTCTTGATCGAACCAACTCATTCATCATCGAGTTAAGTTGATTCAGGTCACAATAAAAATTAAGAAAGTAAATTATAATCAACCTAATCTAACCTATTATATTTTAATCAGGTTAAGTAATTTTTATTTTTTTTGTGAAACATAATTTGACCTAACATAACCTGTAAACCTTAAATCCTAAATTCAACTTGTAATCACTCCTAAGATTGCTTCTTCTCTGTTCAGAATCCGAGTGCCACCCTTGGAAAGAAGATGGTAACTCCTCAACTCTTCAAGTGCTATGAGTAAAAGAATTGAAAAAAAAAATAACGCATGTATTGATTTTGAATGAATGAATTACAAAGGAAAGCTATCTAGTTATATAGTTGAGAATTACAAAGAGAAAGAATTGAGAAGCTAACAGACTCAAGGTCAAAACGTCATTCCCAAACATAAATCTTCTTCCAATCAAACATACTAACAAAGAATCTAAAAACGGCCAAAGAGCTGCAAAATATAATGCAACAAGGTATCATTAATTCCCAAAAGGATATTGATCAATAATAGCCTAAGGTTGCTTAAAAAAAACGAAACTCTGGGAGCATGTTACTAATGGATAAATAATAGTGGATAAAGGACATGTAACTTCATGTTCCTGTAAAAAAGCCAGCACTCTGCAAGTTGCCAAAGTAGAATCCATTATGTTAAAATTTGAGGCGTAGTGGATACCAAGAACAGGCATATATGTAGCTGGAGAAGCTATGGCAACCACGAGATATAGATGAACACTGAGCAATAGTAGGTTTTTTTCTTTTTCTTTTCTTTTTTCATTACATGAGCCATCATAAGTTAGTACACCGTGTAAAACAGTCTAGGTTAATTTGAATTCCAATTCACTTAAAAAGAAACTGAAAGTTTAATTCCCGCATAGAATTTGAATCCGTATTGTTTATGTACAGAGAGTTTACATCAGATACAATAATTAAAATATCAAAATATCATTATGTTTTGCACTCAACTAATAATAATTATATATAATATTTTAATGTTAAATTATAACTAAATATCAATAAAATTATAATAATAGAGATTAAATCTTTCAAACAAAAACTAATAATGTATTATAATACATAATAACAACAATACATAGTTTCAACCAAGATTATCAAAATCAGAAACTTAAATAAGCTGGTGTATGCAGACAATAGATATAAAAACTTATCTTCTTTAGACAGATAAATCTTCTAAACTAATGTATATGTATGAACAAATATTTGATATGATTTTGTCAAAGTCATAGGAGAAAGTCTTGCTTCTATGTTGAAGACTATTCCTATGAGTGCCTAAAATTAAGATGTGACAAATTAAATGTACAGGTTTATCATAAATACATGTTGCATCTTTGTAAAGAGAAATAACCACACAAAAAAATATTTCTCGAGTGTTTCACTTGTGAGAAAAAAAAAAAAAAAAAGATAGTTTGAAAGAAAATTTCATGAGTAAATTTGAGTTAAACACTACGAAATTTAACTATAATTTTTAGTGCACTATAATACTATTTTGTTATAAAATAAACTGATGAATATTAAATAAATTCCACTATGACACTTTTTATTAATTAAATATTGATTTTAAAATCTCACAAATAACGCATAAAAATATCTGGTAAGTCCAAGAAAGGAAATCCACGATGTTAATGTTAATTGAGGAAAGCCTTTTTCTTTCAAATGTCAATGGCGGTCGCCAAGGTACTACAATTGTAAAATGCAATTAGAAATTTGAAAATTAGCTCTGTTAATTTCCAATTTTCTTCTTAATTATTTTTAAACAATCTTATTTAGAATATGTATATTCTAAGTAAGGAAGATGACTTTTTTTATTTATATTCCTAAATTTTAGAAGACGTAAAATTATATGATTAAAAATAATTTTCTTATGTAAAGACTAAATTTAGAAAAAAAGATAAAAAAATTTCAAAATACTCAAAGATAAAGGATCCAGTACAAAGTAATGAATAATGTTTTAAATTTGATTGAAATAATTGTGTGCATAGTTAAAAATAAGTCAATTATTATAAAATTGTTCTCGCAATTAAGAATGCTTGCAAATCCTTTACAGATAGAGTGCTTCACACGCTTTAGGACCTAAATCCGTTACCCTTACTCGAAGGCCGAAAGAAAGCATAAGGGCAGCAAATTCAGTAGTTCCTATGTATCCATTTTCTTAACCATAAATAGCATGTTGAATTGATGAGAGCTACGTGCCTTTTTCCAAAAAGGGGCTTTTTTTTTTTTGAAAAAAAAATTCTATTTTTATTTCTTACTTTTAGTTTTAGATATAGTTATAAAATTAACACTTTATTTTTATATATTTTTTGTTTTTAAAGATTTAAAAACAAGAAATAGTGAAAAGTACAAAAAGTTGTATTCGTACAAATAGATATAAAAATAAAATAAAAATAAGGTGACAATTTCATAATTAAAACTAAAAACAAAAAATAGAAATAAAATATTATCTGAAACCAAACTACTTTGACTATGCATATGCTAAGGGACGGGGATGGATGTTTTATTTATAATTTAAACTGTAGAAGTTGTACCATTAGATAAGATTTTTCTAAAAGATATATACAGTTGACAAAACAATTCAAAATACATAAACTTAAAGGATTCAAGATATGCTGATTAAAGTTTGAGAATTGATTGAAATAGTTCTGAAATCTGAAGTGCATGCAGTTAAAAATAAGTTAATTATAAAAAAAATTACTTGTTTAATTAAAAAGTAAGAAAAAGTATTTTTTTCAAAGATATGAATTCATACACATGGTTGATGAGAATACTTTAAATCCTTCAACCCCCTCCCCCCAAGCAAAGTTAAGTGGGTAACATTTTCCCTATAATATTACACCCATTCTTTCATTAAAATTAATTAACCAACTCTTTTTTTAACCCTTAAAAATAAATATAGATAATATACAGCATACACATATCCAACTAAAAAAGTAGATGAAAAAGAATAATTTATAAAATTAATCTAATAGAACAGAAGCATACAAATTTTCACTGATTCTGTGATAAATATATAATTTTTTTAGCATTATTTTATGTGTGTATAAAAAAAGTATTTCTAGAAAAGAAGTGCTGAGTTTAAGCAAAAGGACATGATGTTGTTTATTAATTCAAAGTTTAAGCTCAGTTTGGTTTTATGTTTATGCATTTAATCCAAACGTTGTAAATGTTGAACGATCATTTGAATATTTTTAATATTGTTCAGAATATTTTTAATATTGTTCAGCTTTCAAAAATGAAAATACTTCTCGCGAAGGTCACAAGATTCATCATCATATACACAAATAGATTGTGGCATTCCCTGAGTAAAAAAATGATCAGTTATGCAAATGCACAGTTCAGTTAGCAATTGCTTTAAGATGAAACTTTAAAGACAAAACGGTATTCAATGAGGAATAAATATTGATCATGATAAATGTGCAAAAACTTTAACATATTAATCGGCCTACATAATAAAATGATGACAGTGACCTATTATCTTAAAGAAGCCCAATGTACTGTTTAAGCAGTGTTTCCTATTTCCTGCAAGCATTTTCAGCTTTTAACAATGACATTCAACCTCTCTTTTAAAGATTTAGAAAGAGGCTTCGGCAGTGGGAAAAAAAAGAAAGAAAGAAAGAGGCTATGACAGAAATTAAAGTTATATTTGAAAAGGGAGAAAGCTAGGCATCAAAACTTAAGCAAAAGGTAAAGTTGATTCTAGCATTACCTTAGCCATAACAGTTAGGGCCATAGCATTTTTCTTTCCCTCATATCACTAACAATAACTACTTATATGGATTATTTTTTAATATATGATTTTTATAAATTATATATATATATGATATGGTATTTTTTAAAAATTATGAAAATATATAATTTAAAAGATAAAAAAATTGATGAAGTATAAAAAATTGTTAATGATAATTTTTCAAAAAAAATTTAAAAATTAAGAAAAATCAAAAGTTGGCAATGACGACTTTATAAAATAATTAAATATTTAAAAAATATATAAAAAGTCGCCAATGATGATTTAAAAAAATAGAAAAAATATCCCTACTTATATTATAGCATACGAAAATGCAAAATGAAAAAAAATCAATGTGAGAGTTAACAGGGAAGAAAATTGCAACACTTTTGGTCGGTCAGAAATTCAAAATTTAGAGTATTAACCTCGCTTGAATTCTTCCCCATATTCAACATATTTGAAAGAATCAGCAAAATTTGTCCAAGCAAAATATGCAAGTTAAAAAAATTTAAACTTACTGATTCCATTCTCATAAGTTTCCATTTGTAGAGATTCCTTTACTTGGAAAAAATATTATGAAAATAACATTGAATTTCATTGTTTCAGACTCAGTGAAAGACTACAGCACACATCACTAAATTCTAAATCATAATGAAGAATTAAAGCAAAAAGAAGCTTACAACATCCTACGTACAGAGCAGACCAACAATAATAGCATACTAGTTGGTCCCATGCATTTTCAAAGTTTGCTTCAATAAAGACTACTCATACATTTCCATTTTCCTTTTATTTTGGTAGGTCCCAGTTGTGTAGCTACTTCACTTGTAAACTTGCTAGCTTTTTATCCAGGCTTGATTGTGTTCATTGATTAAAATTAATTTGCATTTACATGAACAGTACAACACATTTTTCTTTTTACCCCTAAAAATAAATTGGTAATATGCAACGTGCATACCCCAAAGTTAAAAAGTATATGAAAAACAACCCTTGGAGGAGTATACAACATGCTATGCATATTACCTGTGATCACAATTCTTAGAAAAAACTGAACAATATAAAGTGATTCAGCAAAACACCAGCTTCTAGCAAAAAGGGGCATAATACAAAATTTTTCAACAGATGTGGCAACAGTTCTATCGTAAATAATCAACCTTAGACAGCTATGAAATCGTGGCCTAAATAGTCTTTCCTCATAATAGATACAATGTTATCTTTGATTGATGATTTATGAATCATGGACGAAATCCAAGAACCATTATTTACTATTTAGACAGTCTTGATTAACGAAGTCGCCAGCAGTAACTAACTACTTAATACTCATAAGGTTTGTGATGTATGTACCCAAGACATCAAAAACAACAAAATATTTGTAGTGGAGCGGAGATGGGCTCTGTTGATTGATGAAAGCTTCACAGGTGATACACGATCCATTGTTCCCACTACTCATACATACAATTTTCCTTTTACTTTGGTAGGTCCCAATTGACAAGCTACTTCACTTGCTAGCTTTAGATCCATTCTTCGTTGTGTTCCTTCACCACTCACTAAACCAAAACCAAACTGTAATAATCTTTTCTCTCAATTCAATCTTTGATTTGTGAAAAAATGGCTGAGGCCTTACTTGGATTTGCATCTGAGAAGTTGCTTGCACTGATTCAAAACGAATTTGCAACCATTTCTGGAGTCAAGGAAAGGGCTGAAAGGCTATCAAGCACTATGGAGTTGATCAAGGCCGTTCTTGAAGATGCTGAGGAGAAACAAATAACTAGCCATGCTGTCAAGGTTTGGCTACAGCAACTCAAAAATGCTGCGTACGTGCTGGATGATATCCTCGATGAATGTTCCATAAAATACCATCAACTTGGTGGCTTATCCTCTTTCAAACTGAAAAACATCAAGCTTCGTCATGAGATTGGCACCAAGCTCAAAGACATCACCAGGAGATTTGATCAAATTGCTGAAGACAAGAAGAATCATGGCCTGTGTGAGGGTGTTAGGCGAAGGCCAAGTGAAGTGGATGAATGGCGCCAAACCAGCTCAACCGTTGACCAACCTCGAGTATATGGACGAGATGATGACAAAAAGAAGATTGTGGAGTTTCTTCTTAGCCAAGCACCGGGCTCGGACTCCCTTTCTGTCTATCCCATCGTTGGCTTGGGTGGTCTTGGAAAAACAACACTTGCCCAATTTGTCTACAATGATAAAGCGGTAAGTAGCCATTTTGATAAAAGAATTTGGATTTGGGTTTCTGAAAATTTTGATAGGAAGAGGATTTTGTGTTCCATTATAGAACATATCACAGAGAAAAAGTACCAGGTCATGGACTTAGATGTAATGGAAAGAGAAGTGCAAAAACTATTGCAAAGCACAAGGTACTTGCTCGTTTTAGATGATGTGTGGATAGCAAATAAGGAATTGGAATTCGGATTAACCCAAGAGAAATGGAATAAGTTGAAATCTGTGTTGTCATGCGGATCCAAAGGTGCTTCCATTTTGGTGTCTACTCGAGATAAGGAAGTTGCAGCAATCATGGGAACATGCAAAGCTCGTCATTTGTCTGTTCTATCCGACGATGACTGTTGGTCATTGTTCAATCAATATGCATTTGGACCTGACAAAGAAGAGCGTGAAGAGCTTGTGGCTATAGGCAAGGAGATAGTAAAGAAGTGTGGGGGATTGCCTCTTGCAGCACAAGCATTAGGAGGTCTAATGCGCTCAAAGAGTGAGGAAAATGAATGGCTTGAAATTAAGGAAAGTGGGCTTTGGGCTTTATCAGATGAAAATTCTATTTTGCCTGCATTGATGTTGAGCTACTTACATTTGACACCAATCTTAAAGCAATGTTTTTCATTTTGTGCCATATTTCCCAAAGATAGAGAGATCTTGAAGGAAGAATTGATTCATCTTTGGATGGCTAATGGGTTTATTTCATCTAGGCCAAACTTGGAGGTAGAAGATGTTGGCAATATAATTTGGAAAGAATTGTACCAAAAGTCATTCTTCCAAGATGTCCAGATGGATGATGCTTCAGGAAGAATTTTATTCAAGATGCATGATCTTGTCCATGATCTTGCAAAGTCAGTTATGGGGCAAGAGTGTCTGATTTTGGAGAATTCAAACATGACTGATTTGTCAAAGAGCACACACCACATTAGCTTTGGCTCTAGTCTATCATCCTTCAGCGAGGGAGCTTTGCAAAGAGTTGAATCTTTGAGAACGTTATATCAGTTTGAATTTCCACTTGACTACAAAATTTCAGGTTACTTTCCAATAAACAGTTCTCTCAGGGTTTTACGCACAAGTTTTTTTGAGTTATCATCACTCGGGATTTTAATCCATCTGAGGTACTTGGAGCTTCGACATTTGGAGAAAGAAACCTTGCCTGACTTAATCTGTAGCTTGCAGAAATTGGAAATCTTGAAATTGATTGCATGTTGCAAGCTAAAGTTTCTGCCAAAACAAATGAGTTGCTTAAAAAACCTCAGACATTTTGTCATCGAAGGTTGTTCTGATTTGACTCATATGTTTCCTAAAATTGGAAAATTATCTTGCCTAAAAACATTAAGTATGTACATTGTCAGTTCAGAGGAAGGGCACAGCTTGGGAGAGTTACAGCATTTAAAGCTGGGAGGAAAACTGAGCATCAAAGGCCTAGAAAACGTTAGCAGCTTATGTGAGACTGAAGGGGCCAATTTGGTAGGAAAGAAAGACCTAAAGGAGTTATGCTTATCATGGGGCAACAATGGTGAGACCACGTCACATGGTACTAATGTTGAACAAGTACTTGAAGTGCTTCGGCCTCATTCAAATCTCAAGAAGTTGGAGATAAATAGCTACGAAGGGTTAAACTTGCAAAGTTGGATGGGAATTCTGAATGGTTTGGTTGCTCTTAGACTTTTTAATTGTAAGAACTGCACACATCTTTCGTCACTTGGTAAACTACCATTTCTAAGAAAGCTTGAATTAAAGAAAATGGATAATGTGCAGTACCTTCTCAACGATGAATGTTACAATGAGGTGGAAGTGACTGTGTTCCCGTCACTGGAGTATCTCAAGATACTAAGGTTACCAAAGTTAGAGCGGTTGTTGAAAGTGGAAAGAGGGAACGTGTGCCTCCGTCTTTCTGACTTATACATCTCTAATTGCCCTAAACTCGAGTTGCCATACCTTCCGTCTGTTAAAAGACTAATATGCAATGGGTGTAACGATATGTTTTTGAGCTCAATATCAAGCTTCAACACTCTTACAGTCCTTGAACTTACTGCAGATAGAAACACGACAATCACATCCTTCCCAGAAGGAATGCTGAGAAACCTCACTTGTCTTAAAGCTCTCCGTATATATAATTTCCAAAAAGTGAAGGAATTTCCGAATGAAATCATCTACCTTAAAGCTTTGGACGATTTGCGGATCTATTTACCGGAGATTGAGTGTTTACCGGAGCATGTTTGGGAAGGTCTATGCTCTCTTCGAACTTTGCAGATTCGTAGTTGTGAAGGATTGAGATCCTTGCCGGAAGGTTTTCAAAACCTGATTTCGCTTCAGCTTCTGTTAATTGTTGGCTGTCCAGCATTGAGTGAGCGGTGTAAGGAGGGAACAGGGGAGGATTGGCACAAGATCAAGCATGTTCCGAAATTAGTTTTGGACGGTGACCCGGGTATCCTCAACTATATATGGTGATTTTAAGGCTTCTCTGATTTCTCTTTTTAAATATAGTTTTTTGTTATCTATGTATCATCAAGTATTTAATTTCTCTTTAACTTGGGTTTATCTCATTTTAGTCAATTTGAATCAAAGCCTTCATGTACATGGAATAAGATCCTTGAACTTTTCTTCTGCATTATGTGTTTGTGTATTATGCAATAATTATATTGTGTTCATCGTATTATTATGACTAGAATTTATTCATCATTTTAATTAAAAAGATTGTGCGTGAAGTAACGTGTTACTTTTTAGTGTTTTCTTCAACTATTCCAACTATATTTTGCTTTTCTGGGATCTATCCAAAATGTTCCAAAAATTTATATTGGTATATCATTTTCCTTCCTACCTAGACCTCTTATTACCAATCTCTACAAATAGAATCACAAAACATGCCCATTTTCATATTTTCTAGCATGTTTCAAGCAAGAAGAAAACTTTTTTAAAAAATTAAATTGAATATCAAAATTCAACTTAAGAATCCCTTTACATAAGATAAGCAGTTGGGATAACTAACTTAACTCTTGTGAGCACTCATTTTACAACAATGCATCACCTATCTAGGGGTCTTTTTTTGTCAAAATAAAGTAAAATTTAAAATAAATTATTAAAATAAGAGTATTGGCAAAACATTTTTTTGTCTAAGGTTATTTTTGTTACGTTTATTTTTTAATAATAAATATTGTATTTATAAAAATAAGTATCATCTACAACATGGACAGTCTGGATACGGATATTGTATTACCCATTCTCATACAACATAGAATTTTTTGTCCATCGGAATGAATTTCAAAACAAAATCCGTAAGTTCCTTTGAGCTATCCCTTGCTACTATAAACAATCCTGGTTTGGGTGTCACATTGATGCATTCTTGCCAAGAAAATGACACGCAGTGTGAACAAGTTTTGGATTATGATCAGCGGTAAAAGTGCATCAACCTTGTATTTTGATTAAGATGACTCTAGTGCGTCAAACGTAAAAAGTTGAATCTTATTATTTCTGAAGCAGTTCATCATGCACACGTTCATGGAAATGGTAACTTGGTAATTTGATTTTATTTTATATTGGTGATGATGTGTCATGCTTTCTTAGTGATATTTTTCTTACTCACTTCTAGGATAACAAGGTCTCCATTTGTTCTAGCACTTGACAAGTTTTGTTTGATATTTATTGGATAATAAAAGCACAAGGCAGAGTTATTGCATTGTGGTTGAAATTTGCCAAGAAAATTGAAATTATGAGATGAGAGCTTCACATCATATTTTTAAAATTTATTTATTTAATATATTTTTAATGGTTATAGACTCGACTTCATAGAACATAAAGATTCGAGCTTCTACCGTGCCCATAAGATCCAAGAACTTCTGCCATTCCGAGAGGACATATACCTTAAAATTGTGGAAATATGTAATGTCATCCAATAAAAGAGAATCTTTTGAGGTCCTTGTAAAGAATGAATTGTAGATCAACCCTCTATTATTACTGAATTTATACGTATATACCTGATTAGTGATGATACATACCTGAGCTTCAATGAGATCTTATATGGTTAACAGTAATAAGCAGCTCCAACATTTTCAACAGAAAAATGTGTCAACATATGAAAACTATTTTGTCTCCATCTTCTTTGTTGTAATTAAAACATAGTAGGGGAAAAAAAGGTACTATTGCCAACTAAGAGTAATTGCTTTCTGTGGTATGTGCCAAGAAAATTGACATTATTGTGAGATGAGAACCCTCATATCAATTTTAAATCCAACTTAAAAATTTATTTATGAACATTTTTCAATGGTTATAGACTCGACTTCATAAAACCTAAGGATTCAACTTCTACTTTCCCCACAAGATCTAAGAACTTTGACCATGTGGAAAATATATATATATCTTAAAACTGTGGAAGTACATAATGCCATCCAATAAAAGAGAATCTTTGTCCTTATAAAGAATGAATGTATCTGATGATCAACCCCCTGCTATTACTGAATGTAATATATATACCTCAGTGATGATTCATAACTGAGCTTCAAAGAGATCCTATATGGTTAACAGTTTTAAGCTGCTCCAGCATCTTCAACAGAAAAATATATAAAAACTTTTTTGTCTCCAACTTCTGTGTTGTAATTAAAACATAGTCAGAAAAGAAAAAGACAATAAAAATTGCTATATGATGTAAAATATAGATGGTACCTTGATGTAGCAAGTTCCATTGAACTGTTCTTTAAAATTCAAGGAAGACACTATCAATTGTCTTCAGCTTTTCCATCTCCTCCTCACTAGCAACACCAGGATCAACATAACACAACTGAAATAGAAACAAGACCATCAAGCCCCATCAATCAATGGTGAAAGGCAATTGCAGTTTTGTTGAATGAAGTAAAACCTGGTATTGTTGCTTCTTCAGGGTGTGCACTCCTCTTTTAATGAGTTTCTGCCATCCAACTTTCTCCCTAAGTGATCTTTCTATAGCCACCGTTCTCTATAATGATAAATCACAAGATTTGAAAGCATGTCATGCCATCATTATTACATAACAAGTATATTCCAGATTACTTCTTTTAATAACAACACACACCAAAACACAGATAACAGAGGAGTAGGAAGAAAATATATCTAAACCTAATTCAAAATGCATATCCTTAACTGCAGAGATCTACTAATCCAAAGAGAATACAACCAATTACCAGACCACAGAGGATCGTAGAATATGATGAGGGTTGTAATTAAAATAGGTCAAGCTTTGTAATTTGACCTGACTTTCAATTGGTCAAAAAGCACTCATGATATGCATCTAAATAACAACTTAGAAATATACATTAACACACAAATACATTACATGGGCTGGATCCAGAATCAGGAGGTTATATTGTGGAATTCCAGTCCGCTGATGTTTGACTTGAATTCCAACTATTGTTCTTGAATGTCCATCATGTTGAAAGTACAAGGGCCTGTCCAAAAAAAGCGTTTGACTTAAAACACCATAACAAATAATTTTGCTTGGTTAGAACATGAGTACCTAAGTTCCACCCTCATTTACGTTTTTGAACTGATAAGAACGCGCCCGTGGCCAAATTGAGTTGTGCTTCTATTAGAAAAGTAATTCCATACAAAGTCCATAAGAACTTGATGACCCTCATTTAGTTTTGCAGCACTAACCACTTTGTCACCACAACTTTCTTTATCCACAGCATCATGAAACTGAATAAGAGAAGAACATGATGTATCTTGGCCACAACTTGTTTGAGAAACACCACGGGACACATACCTATCCATTGGTCCATAAATATTTGGAGTTTTCCTCTTCCTTCCATCATTAGTACTCAGTAGGTCTTGTGCCCCGACACTTGAACCAGGGACAGATAGATAGAGTGCTTCAGATTCCTTAGGACCAAAATCCACTACCCTCGCCCGAAGACCAAAAGAACGCAGAAGGGCAGCACATTCAGTTGTTCCTATCCATTTTTTGGAGCCATAAATAGCATGATTGAATTGATCAGAGCCCGGTGCATCAAAACCCCTTTCCCAAGCAATCTCAAGCCACCTCTGGAGTGATGGAATATCAGGAACAAATCTTGAACCACCAAACATAACTTCTCTTGCTTCTGGCCTTTGTGCAAGTAAGTGTGAGCTAAGCATTTGGATGTTACGCCAACCACAACCCCATCCAACATCCTCAGATACAATGCTTTGGAAATGATCAACATAACCTGACAAAATGCTTCTTGAGTTTTCAGCTTCAGACTCCAAACAGTTTCTTAACAATGCCATTAAACCTCCTTCAACCTTGTGACACTCACCCCTTCTCTGCAAATCAACCAAGCAAGAGATCTTTCCATCTGTTTTGCACACTCCATTACCTCTGTCATTTCCTCCACCATCACCACACCAGGTGTTACAATCTCCAGAATTTGTATCAAAATGCAAGCCATTAACCTGCAGATTATGAAACAGCACAACACAAATCCTTTTATATGTCTTACTTCTCTTGACAAGCAAATGAAAAAGTGGTCCATTTTAGACCATAAATGTGAAAACTTGAATTTCAACAAAAAGGGGTAAATAAAAGACAATAAATCAAAGGAGTCTAATGAGCAGAAATTGTTCAGAAAATCACATTGTAAGCTCATGTGGGTAACTAAAATTTATTTTCATCACCACCCACAAAGCCAACCCCTTTCAGGGAGGGTTGAAAAAAGTTTAAATTTTTATTTTTTAGTTTCTCAAATAAACGAGTCAGAAAGAAGAGAATGGGAAAGAAAAAGGGGTACCGAAGAAGAATGATGGTGGTTGTCATCGTAATCGTGGAAATGGGTGTTGGCGTGGCTGCAATTGAAATGAAGCAGAGTCACTCAGCATGCATTGAATCAAACGGGAAAGAATAAAAAGGAGAAAGAGAAGAGAATTAAAGACCGTTGAATTTGGGAGGAAGGAAATGACAAAAGACAAAAAGGGCAAGTTGTTGAATCCATATTCATCAAATGAAAATTGCAGAAAGATGAAAGAAAAATGACGTTAATGGAGGAACACTTTTTCCATTCAAAAGTAAATGGCGGGTCGCCGGGTACTACCTTCGATAAATGGTAGCAGAAATTAGATTTACTTAACCTCAGCACTAATGCGTTTAACTTTAATAACTCAAAATTATAATTTTTAATATATATATATATATATATATATATATATTACATTAAAATTATAAAAGCGTAATAAATTCATTATTATTAATTGATAAACTCAGTTATAAAAATAAAATTAACATTTTTCTGAGAAATTTAAAAATTATCTTCATTAATTTCCATTTTTTTGTTATTATTTTTTAAATAATTTTATTTTGAACATGCATATTTTAAGTAAGGAATTTTTTTTATATTTCTAACTTCTAGAACATTTAAAATTAGATAAAATTTAAAAATATTTTTTAACGTAGAAATAGATAATAAAATATTCAATTTATGTAAAAATAAAAGATTAAAAAAAGTGATTATTAATGTTTGATATTTGATTGAAATAATTATGTATGTGCATTGATAAAAATAATTTAATTATAAAAATAATTTATTTCTAAAAAATAAAATGAAATTATTTTTTAAAATATTAATTCAAACACATATTTATGACCTCACTCTATCTAAAAAAAGGTTTACTTTTCCTGCAATTATCTATATCATATTTATTTTTTACTTTCTATAAAATCAGCAAAATTTACTTTTATTTAAAAAAAATATTTTTATTTTCAATTAATATAAATATTTAAAATCAGTCATTCGATCTATTTTATTATTAATTTTATTAACAAAATTTCATGTAATTATATTATTTAAAAAATTAATGTAACACTTTTTGTGACACATTTTTTATTATGGACTAAAATTTATAAAAATTACAAAAAATTTGTGTGTCTCATTCATAAATTAATTAATCAATAATAAAAAATTAATTTTCAATAAATTTGAATAATAAAAAAAATGAAATAAAAAAAATGTATTATCTTTTCCAACTTATTTAGCATGTCATTGTGGTGTCCTGTAAATTAGAACATTCCTTGCCTCATTTATGATAATATCAACTCTTACAAAAGTGTCATTATCACCCTTCATGATATACTCTGCAGAAATTGTGAAAAACTGTGAACAGTGCAACACATCTTAAAATTTAACAAACAGCAACTTACCCCGTATTCACATGTGACTACCATTTTCAACACAAGAAGGTCACAATTGTTCATGTAAGGAACTATAACAATATCACAAAATATTTTAGTCCCTTCTTCAACTCTACATTAACTACTTTCTTCTGCTGTAGTTAAAAGCATCCGAATCTCAAGAAAATGAAAATAATACAATAGAACGAAAATCAATAAAGTTGAAAAGCTTGTCAACTTGTCTACATTACTAGCGCAATGAAGAAACGAGCCACCACTTTCAAAGACTTAATAAGGCTATGCTGCATCCATGACTTCCCCACTGCCATTCACTCGGCAAAATGGTTTTCAGCCAAAATCCACTTCAATTCATTTCATTGAAATTCACTTAATTTATAAGGACTCAATTAATTAGTAGCAAAACTTATTTTTAACCTTTAAAAAGTATAGAGAATATGCATGTTTGAACAAAAGACAAAGTGAATTCATTGTATGTTCCAAAGAGTGTTTTCAAACTTGAGTTTTAACGAATTTTATTTGGTAGAATAAATTTTACTTAAACGTGAGTTTAAGATGATATAATATATGTTTAAAAACTTTATAATTAAAAGTATATTTTTAGTAAAGCTTATTGTAAACTTTTCAAGTCAGCATAAAAGTTATAATTTATCATGTTGACTCGAAGGTAAGTTTATAACTAAAAATAATTATGGTAATACAATTTTCAAATCACATTTACATATTCAAACTTGAGGTAAAGAACATGAAATGGTTATTCAAACATGCACTCAAAATTTAAACTTGTGTCTGATTTTATATTTATGTATTTAAACATGATATTGTAAAGGTTAAACAGGTGTTTAAAATATTTTCAATGTTGTTTAGCCTCAAAAAAATTAAAACACTTCTCATAATAGCAGATACAACAAGCAGAAGAAGTAGGAACTTCAAATCAAAGATCCCATTGAGCTTATAAATAAAGCCTTAGGGTCCCCCTTATCCATCCATCCCAAAAATTCCTTTTTCTTCTCTCTTTTTTCTTATATTTTTACTTTGAGATCTTGTTCTCGGTAATTGTAGTAGTCATTTAAGTTAGGAGTGGTGTAATTTCCTTCTTTATTAAAGTTGAAGTATTGTCTTTCTTTTAACTTTTATTTTTCTCATATCTTATTTTAGTTGTGAGTTATTATTATTTTACTGTGGTTCCAATAGTGGTATCAGAGCTTTTAGGTTGTTTATATTATTTTGCTGTAGTATACATTAGTATAGTGTTAGAGAAAATTCTTAATATATTCTGTAGTTGCAGTATTGTCTGATCTACTACATCAGAAAAGAATTATTCTTATTATTTGGTATACAATTTGGTTAGGGTTGTCCATTTGGTCAGTTTGGTCGATTTCGGATGCAAATAAACTAAAAAAACTCATACCGATTTTTGAATGATTAAAAGTCGTAACCGTCCATTTAGCAGGTCAGGTTAAATAAATTTTGGATTAAGTGAGTTACGGTTTAAGCAGTCGAACAAGCGATTTAATCTAATTTGAGTGTAAAATGATTTCTTTATAAAAAACTATCAAAAATCTTATTTGTTTATTTTTAAGTCTAGTTTTAATTTTTTTTTTCTTATTGTATAATTTTTTCCCAACAGATTATAGTACATAAGAATTTAAAAAAAAAATAATGTATGGTAAACAGTATATTAGAATAAATTTTATATTAAAATCAAGTCATAATTCAGTTAAAAAATAGAATTAAAATCATAATAAATTTAAATCTGTCTTATATAGCAAATTTTAAATGAAATAATAACCAATCCAAATTTATTCATGCACATGCATTTCAAGAAGGAAAAATTAGAAATATCAATTGGGTCCTAAAGTTAGTCCACAATTAAAATAAGTATACTTAACACCTCTTTTCAAATAGTGCAGGAAAACTAATCAATTAAAATACTAAACCAACAGAATCAATATTAATTGACAACACATTGATTAGCAAAAGACAATTTCCTCCAACCCCTTAATTAGCTTTCATTTGGCTTCCTATTTGTAAATCCATGGAGAAAAACTGTAAAATAGTAATAAAATCCTTACTAGGTTAATGAATTTAATTTGTAATAAAGTTCAGCACATGAAAAGAATAAATATTGGAAGGAAATGAGTCATTTACCTATCCATGATGGTTGCAAATGTTGAGAATGATGATTTGATCTGATGAAACAATTCTTGACTCGTTTCAAAATGACCCTCAAGCTAAGAGTATAAAAGTGAAATTTATAAGATAGCTGGAAACAAAAAAGTGACATGCATATTACAAATAAATACATGAATATATTTAGTAGAAAGGCAGCATCATCTTACTATCAACAACATAAATAAAGAGGCTTGAATGGTTCCTATCCAAAATAATTCAACAAAAGCAAAAAATATCTGCATAAAAATAAATTAGAGATCATCTCAGAATTGGTTTAGAAAATCACATTGCACATTTGACAATGTTAATATGAAAAAATAAGAACCTGCACTTTGTCCTCAAGGATTCCACATAGTCCTTGATCCAAAATAAACTGAATTGATATTTCATCCAAAAAATAGCATGTATTCAAAATAGCCTTTTCATATTTCAAGCTCCAAAAAGTCATTGCTAAAATAATAATAATAATAATAATACCAAGGCAGAAAGTTACAAAAATAAAGTTAAATAAGAAAAGTAAAAAAAATAAATAAAGGTAGTATGTTAAAAAGAAATAAACAATTTACATTATAGGTAACTTTAGCTAATATTAATTGGCTGAGATAAACCAATAGAACTTTCAAGTCTAATCCCTCCACCCACAAGTGCAACTTCTCCAATAATTGACAAGTCTTCAATGCATGAGATCAAGCAAAAAAAATATTAAATCACTAAAAACAGCAAATAACATTTTTATTTATTAAATTACCAAAAACAGCAATAATAAACTGCCTGCTATAACAGTCTCTGAAACTTCAAAGTCGTCATTGATATCCTTATCCTTAAATTGGAAATGAGAAGATTTTAACCAATTTTGGATACAAACGAGCGCTTTAGTCATTTGTGGAGATAAGAAACTTCTAAAATTGTCCAACACCCTACCCCCAGTGCTGAACGCACTTTTAGATGCAACAGTTGAAACTAGAACAGCAAGTACATCTCTTGCCAAAGTGGATAATATTGGAAAATGTGAACTGTTTTATTTCTGCCATAATAAAAGATCAAATCTATCATTAAAACTCAAGCATGATTCAGCAAGATATCTCTCAAGTTCATTTTTTTCATCAATTGAACTTTTCTCTCTTAAATGTTGTTAGTAAGCATCAGCCCTTGCAAAACGGACTACAACTTGAGGAGTAGAGGTTTGAACTAGATTCTTTTCTAAAGAAACATGAGAAGATTGTGTAGCCCTATGTTGTCGCTCATGCAAGGCAGCATACCAAGCATACAATTGAAAAAGCTTATGTTAGACATCAATAGATAGTTTCCTTACCAAATCAGTGTCTTTTGGGTACATGTCTTTAAAAGACCAGTCTACATAAGTCAACTTGTATCTAGAATCAAGAATCACTCCAAAATAAAGAAGTTGGTTTATGTGTTCCACTTGACCCCAATACTTCTCATACTTCTTTTTCATCTCCAAACCTATGTTGGCAAGAATTGTGTTCAGATTCATTGCAGAATGATTCTGCTCAATGAGAATTTCAAAAAGTTGGTGGAAGATAGTATGAATAGTGACATGAGTGGAAGCAGAAAGAACCTCTGTTGTATCATGAAAGATTTTTAGAAACTTAACAAAAACTCTTGCATTCTCCCAATCACTACTACATGGGGAGCTACACTTGTAAAGAATGGTCTAAAACAACTAGCTTCAAAATCTAACTTCTCCAACGCAGCTTCAAACTTTTCAGTAGCTTCTAGCATGAGGTATGTTGAGTTCCAACGAGTGGAAACATCAAGAGATACTAGCTTCTTACAAGAGATTTTTAAAAGATGAACACACTCCTTGAATTTGGCTAGCCTTTGAGGAGATAATCGTACATATCTAATTGCAGTTTTGATGCTAGATATAGAGGCATGCATATCCTTTAAACCATCATTCACCACTAAATTTAAAATGTGTGCACAACACCTCATGTGACAAAATTCTCCACCTAAGACTAGCCCATTGAAGGCTTCAACCAATTTTTCAAATAGTTAACAGCCACATCATTGAAAGACGTATTATCAACAGTAATAGTAAAGACATTTCTAAGTCCCCACTCTCTCAAAATTTCTTCAACATTCATTCCTATGGTCTCACCTCTATGATTGGGAACAATTTAAAAGCTAATGACTTTTTTATGATAGTTCCACTCCTTATCAATGAAATGAGCTGTTAATGTTAAGTAATTTAAGTTTTGAATTGAAGTCTAGCAATCAGTAATGAGTGTGACTCTACTACAATCAGACATAAAAAAAAGCCTTAAGTCTAATTTTTTTCATCCAAAAATAGCTGATAACAGTCTCTAGTGAGTGTTTGGCGGGGTGGAAGGGTGAATTGAGGCTGAAGTTGATTGACAAGTAACCTAAATCCCTCACCCTCAACTATTCTAAAAGGTTGTTCATCTAAAATCACAAACTTTGCAACAGCTTTTCTACAAACTTCTAAATTGAATCTTAGGCTGACTGCACCTAAAACATTACTATTAGACCCAAAAGTCAGAACGGTTTGGTTTGGGTCACTATTAAGGACATATGTGTATTTAGGACAAGTACAAAGGTGACTTCCCAAACTAGATGTTTCCATGAATTTTAGAGTGACAATAGAAGGCCTTTTTGTAATAGTTGCATGCAGCCTGGGAAATGTCATTATCATTTGATAGATGTAGTTTGGTAAAATAACCCCAAACATATGAAGTCAACTTGGGAGCACTTGCATTTGCTCTCCTCTTCTTTGCTGGAGCATTTGGAAAGGTAACACTTGCATGTTCTCTCTTTTTGTTTGTAGAAGCACTTGCATCTAAAGGATTACCATCATGATTTGCACAAGTTGATGCAAAACTAGTGGGGATAGCCAATTGATTTACTGGTTGTTGGGTTTCAAGAGGCATGTACTGACCGAACTCCTTCATTCTGTTTCAGTGGAAGAAGCCTAGGTCAACAACTACTAGTTACATTTAGGTGTTGACTAACATTACTCAAAGTTTTATCAATTATTAAAAAATTCTTATGTATTAATTTCTCATCACTGATCTTAAGCATGTTGTCAGCTCACGGTAACCATCTTACTAACCATCACTTAACTAATAGCGAGAGGAAGGGGGAAAGAGAAGGTTGAATATGAAGGTGAATAAAATCTCAGACAGCATCATTGGTTAAAAATAGATTAAGAACTTGCAACATACAGCTGCCATCATTGATCAGAGAGAGAAGAACAGGTATCATTGAACAAACAATAAAGAAAGAGGTGGCAGAATAGGCAAGTGAATAAAAATATCAGAAAACATCATTGATTACAAATAGATTAAGAAATTGTAGCATGCATAACATATACAAAATCTCAAGCTGCAGTCATCATTGATTAGAGAGAAAATAGCAAGTATTAAGACATGACAAGATCTCAGAAAACATCATCAATCAGAAAAGGATTAAGTTTTCAGAAACTATAATTGAATAAATAATAGAGGAAGAGGGGGCAGAATAGGCAAGTGAATAAAAATCTTAGAAAACATCATTAATTACAAACAGATTAAAAAATTGTAGCATGCATAACATATACAAAATCTCAGGCTGCAACCATAATTGATTAGAGAGAAAAGAGCAGGTATTAAGACATGACAAGATCTCAGAAAACATCATCAATCAGAAAAGGATTAAGTTATCAGAAACCATCACTGAATAAATAATAGAGAAAAAGGAGGCATTCAACATACATAGAATCAAGACAACAACTATTATACATCAGAGAGACAACAACATGCAATGATCTCAGAGAATATATCTCAAATATGTAAACAATAGTATACATGTATCTCAGCTCAGTTATTGACATACAACTAACCATCAATGGTAGACAATATTAAATAATGAACTAAAGGACCTTGCTTGCCCCTGAAATAAGAATGTCAACGAAAAATCTTCTGGATACTGCATATAAACAAAAAGTGTTCTAATAAGAAATAACAAACTTTATTTGTTTTTAAATGGTGGAAAATAGACCATAAATTAAACTTTCTAAATAAAATTCTAAACAGATTTTATCAAATTTAATTTAATGATAATTTTATATAAAAAATAAATCATTAACCCTTCAAAAATTGTCTGAATTTCATCAATTTTTCATGTCAATTTTCTGGTATAAATTTAGCTGAGATTAAAATTGCAGTAAATCCTTCAGCATAAGATGCATACTCTGATGCAAAAAGAAAATAAGAAAATAAAGATATATGTTGGTACCAAAAGTTAAAGATTATATATAGCTGGTGATCAAGCTTAGAAGCATAAAAAAAAAAGCTCAATTCAACGCTTTTAGCGTTCTTAGTCTTTCATCCTGCAGAATATTTACAAAGTTGTAGCTCAATGCATTTCAACAACTGTTACTACAGAAAACAAACAATTTCTATTGACATTAAAATTCTAGTTATAATCATGATTTTCAATTGGCTTCTAAAACTATTGAAAATTTGTTTGTTTCCAAAATTTTCCAATTATCTCAAAAACTATCTTGAAATATACTTCAGAAACATTAAACACTTTCTTTGAGATAGTTATGTGTATGTAAATTATAGCCTTTGAGAAGAATGGGAAGGGACAATACTAGTTGTTCAACTTCTTGAACTGATAGAGAAACACAAATTGGTAAAATAACATTTTTCTTTCTTTTACTGTAACTTGGAAAGAGAACTCTTGTTTTGAATGAACCATTACACAAACACAAAAAAAAAAAAAAGACATTATAAAGCAAAAAGGTGGCAGTTGAAGATTTATCAGAATAGGACAACCACTAAAACGGGTTCAAAGTTAATTCAATAAAAGTCCTAGCTAGAGAGTAAATTTGTAGAAGAAAAACATAACATAAACAAAAATTGAGCACATCAAGAAACTAAAAAGCTTAAAAATCATACAATAATTATTCAAGTAAGAAAAAAACACAACTAGTCAAATAAGTAAAACAACAATGTCTAACTTGCAAATCACTGACCTATAAAGGGGTCAAACTAATGCAAATTCTTTGACAATTTTCCTTGAGCTTGAAGCAAACACAGGTGAGTCCTTTACCAATCCATGCGGGAGAGCCATAGGTTGCATGATCTGCATATAACCAATCAGGTGACTTCCTTATTTAACCCTTTTTTTTAAACCTTTCCCAAATAAAGCCACTCACTTGGTTGAAGAAAGGAATTAAAAAGACCTTTTTTTTTCTTACTTAAGGAAGCGCATGATCAAATCAACAAGCACAGTTGTGGCAGAAATGTTGTGTTTTGGGTGGAACCGAATGTATAGCATTAGAGGGGACATAGTCAAAGGAAACTAAGTTGCGTATGGTGAATGAAAAGGAAGTGTGGTAATATGAACAATGTTGAAATGAGTTGTTTACTTTGCTATTGTAAATTGTTATATACAATCTAATGACATGGTGCCTATTATAATAACTTCCGATTCAATAAGACAATGGAACAACATTTGAAGGTTGCAAGGGTTGATAAAACGGCCAAAACAACAAATAATAATATTATTATTCTAAGTAACAACTACAAAATCATTCAGCAGTACCCAGATGAAGTTTTTTGGAGTAGCATTCACAGTTGGGAAACAAAAACAATAAATTAGAAGAAAGTTCAAAAAATGAAACACGCAGATAAAAACCCACATCACAAATCAAAGATAAGGGAAAAGGAAAGTGAAAATAGCAAAAAAATCTCTCCACAGCACCAATGAAATGGTAGGAAAGAGTAAAAATAAATAAAATAAAAAAGAAAATAGCTATGAAATTATCTGGATTCCGTTGAACGAGTTTTGCGGCATGAGAACACCAACAAATAACTCGTTCTCCAGCAATAGTTGAGGGTGAAAGATTCAAATAGCGACGACCTTTGGCACAAACAAGACGAGAACTTGAACAAATCTAAGTCACTATGCAAAAAAAGGGAGAAGAAAGGAAGGACAGCTAGGGTTTTATGACTAAGTTTGTGAGATGAGTTTAGGAACAGGAATGGGAGAAGAAAGATCAAAATTATAAGAGTATGTGGCCGTTACAAATGAAAACCCTACCAGAACTGCAGAAGAATTCCATCACATAAGGGAGATAAAAAAAAATGGCATGTTGCACGCTTCAGTGAAGATTATAAGGAGCCTTAAATATGCATCACTAGGGTTTCATATTTTAATATTAATTTAATAAGTAGACGAGTCGATTCAGGTCTCAATTCTCTTACCCGAATCCGACCGTATTTAACCATCTAAACCCATTTTTCTGATCCATTCTTCTCCTAAAAAAACCGACCGACCGTACCATGTTTTGGGCCTTCGGGTAATGCAGTTTCGAACGAACTTCGCATTAATGGACAACCCTAAATTTTGTAGTGTAAAAGTGCATATCTGGTGTGTACTTGTTTACAATCTACCATCATTATTATTCCAGTAAGTAGTACTATTCACAATGAAAGTTGCATAAGTCAAAATAATTAAAAGAGAAATTATGGCAACAAAATATGAGATAGAGAAGTTTAATGGGAGTAACTTCTCCTTATGGAAATTAAATATAAGAACAATTTTAAGGAAAGACAATTATCTTGATGCAATTAAAGACAGACTCGCAGATATTTAAGAAGAAAAATAGAGAGAGATGAATAACAATGCTATTGCCAATTTGCATTTAGCATTGGCAGACTCAATGTTATCTAGTGTTGCAGAGAAGAAGACTGCAAAGGAGATTTGGGACATCTGATCAAGTTGTATGAGGCCAAGTCACTTCATACTAGAATATTCTTAAAGAGAAAACTCTACATTCTTCAAATGAGTGAGTCTACATCAATACCAGACCACATCAATAATCTGAATACGTTGTTCGCTCAGCTTACAGCTTCAGATTTTCACATAAGAGAAGGTGAAGAGCTTCTACTCTAGAGTTTACCAGATTCATACGATCAACTCATCATCAATATAACAAACAACAACATTATCGGTCGTCTATCCTTTGATGATGTTGCCGGAGCAGTTATTAAAGAAGAATCCAAGTGAAAGAATAAAGACGATAGACTGGACAATTCTAAACAAGCAGAAGTGTTGACAATGATGAGAGGGAGATCAATGGAACGTGGCCTTAGTGAGAGTCAAAATCATAGTAGATCAAAATCTCAGAGAAGGAATAATCTAAAATGCTACAGTTGTCGCATGAGAGGGCACATGAAGAAAGATTGTTGGCATAAGAAGAGTGGAGAAGGTAAAAAATCGGAAGCATCAACCTCTCAAGGTTGTGTTGCAAGTACCTCAGATGATGATGAAATCTTATACAATGAAGCAAAAATACATTCTAGAAGTGGAAGACAACTCCATGAATGTTGGATATTGGATTCAGGTGCAACCTGGCACATGACTCCATGTCGAGACTAATTTTGTACTTATGAACCTATCTCAAGAGGATGTGTATTCATGAGAAATGATCATGCCTTAGAAATTGCTGGAGTCATCAAATTAAAAATGTATGATGGTACTGTTCAAACAATTCAAGGAGTACAACATGTGAAGGGTTTGAAAAAGAATATATTGTTTGTTGGGCAATTGGATGACGTCAAGTGCAAGATCCACATTGAAGGTGGAATCTTAAAGGTAGTTAAAGGCAATTTGGTACTGATGAAAGCAGAAAAGATCAAAACCAATTTATACATGCTTTTGGGAGATACATTGCAAGAAGCAGATGCATCAGTTGTAACAAGTCAAGAAGCGAAAACAATGATGTGGCATCGTAAAATTGGTCATATGTTAGAGCGAGGTTTGAAAATTCTTGTTGAACGTAATCTCTTGCTAGGGCTCAAAATTGTAACCTTATCATTTTGTAAGCACTGTGTGACAAGTAAACAACATAGATTGAAGTTTGCAAAAGTGACTACAAGAAGCAGACACATACTGGACT